CTAAATTATATATTATAAATAATATATTATATTTTATAATATTCTATATCATTGTTTTAAAAACCGACTCGGAGGCTGAACCATTTTTTGCCTCTGGGTTGTGGGTCACCGGTTCGACCGGCCAGGTTGGATGGGTCAGACAGTGCCATGTCAGCCATATGGAAATTCAAATATATATATATATATATTTTAATTCAGCTTTAAATTTTTATTTGTAAAAAAATATTAAAAATTGCAATTTAAGGCCAAAAAAAGGTTTTTTTTGGAAAAAATAATGGGGCAAGGCACCTATTGCTCCTTGGGATGCATAGATCTCGAAAAGTTACCCAAAATAAAAAAAACCACCTGAATTGGACATTGGAGTACAAAGTTATGGCCTCGTGAAGTTTGCATACATAGTATGCAACTCGCGACCCAACCGAACAGGTCAATGGTCCAACTGTCGGGGTTAGATGGTTTTTGACCAAGTCAACAGTTTTTTGACCTTCTTCGGGTTTTATTGAAACTGGACCTAGAATCTTGATCGGGTGACGGTTTGAGTAGTTCAACCGGTCGGGTCAACGGTAGGTTGAAAACACTATTCTATATATCACAATATATAATACCTTTTTCGCTACTAATTTTATTTTTATATAATATATATTATGTATTATTAATATATATATATTATATTTTTTACTCTATATAATATTATCTGGCCAAGCTTGGGTTGGATAAAAAAACAGTTGGGTCTGATGTTTAAAGCCCGAGCTCGAGCCTGCGGGCTTCAAATTTTACCCAAGCTCGATTTAGAACAGGCTGGGCCAGGCTAGCCCATCGGGCTACCCAACCTATGAACAAGTCTACTATGGATAAAGACAAAATTTGGGCTAAGGTGGTAGAAAGCATTCATGGGATTGCGGCTGATGGATGGGATGTTGGTGTACTGAATAGGGCTACTAGAGCTTCCCCTTGGAAAGCCATCCATGCTATTTTACCTTCTTTCTTGTCTTTTATCAGGTATAACTTTTACTTTGGAAACCTTATAAAATTTTGGGAACATGTTTGAGTGGGGAACTTTCCTTTGAAAGACAAATGTCCCTCTTTGTTTTCCTTTTCGAGGTACAAAGATGAGCCCATCTCCACTTTCATTGTTTCTTATAGTTTAAGAAATGGTTTTGATTGGGACTTGGGTTTGAAAAGAGGTGTAAGGGATTCAGAATTAAATTGTGTTTTGGCTTTGCTTCATGTTCCTGATGGGATCTTTTTGGATCCCTCTAAATCTGACAGCTGTATTTGGACACTCTCCTCCTCTAGTACCTTTTTGTGTGCCTCATTTTTCAAGGCCCTAATTCAACCCTTTGATAGTCTGGGGCATCCTTTTCCTGTAAAGAAGGTTTGGAGCAAACCTATCCCTCTAAGAATTAGAGGTTTTTGTTGGAAAGTCTTCTTGGAAAGAATTAATACTTGTGATCTACTCCAAAGAAAAAGACCTATTGGTGCTTATGCCCACCTTGGTGTATTCTTTGCAAGGATAATGGAGGAACTTGCTTTCACTTATTAATCTCATGTCCTTATGTAACTTTTATTTGGGAATGATTTTTCTCAATGTTCGGGTGTAGGTGGACTCACCCGGCCCAATGTACAAAGCTTGTTTGCCTCTACTTTCTTTAGGTGGCCAACGAAAAGGGGAAGAGTAATGTGGAAGTGCTTAAGGATTGCTTTGAGTTGGACCATATGGGAAGAAAGGAGTTCAAGAATTTTTTCAGATAAGGAAAGAAGTAGAGAGGCAATCATAGAGACCATCGTGATTAGAGTAGTTCACTGGGTGAAGTCGTTGGAGCTGTTTGCTGACTTCTGAATGGGTGACTTTATGAAAAACTGGAAGTGGCTTTTTCAGATCGTTACGAGATCGCAGCAAGCCCCCTTTGGTCCCTACTAACTAATGGTGAAGTAGTGCTGGTAACCCAGGTTCTTTTGGCATTGGAGGTGTTTCTGGAAATAGTGAAGGCAGAATTATTGGTTTATCTTCAGGCCCAATTGGTGGGTGACTCTCTAAGGGCTGAGGTTATGGCTGTTATGGAGGGAATGCAACAGGCAAAGGATATGAACTTAAGTAAGTTGATTATAGAAGGTGATTCAAAGCTGGTAATGGAATAACTGCAAAAGGAAGAAATTAGATTCTAGAATTTCAATAGTGAAAGGAAGAAATTCAAGTGGCTGACACAAAATATGGATGTGAGACTTAGTTGGGTTAAAAGAACTGCTAATGTAATAATGTTTTTGCTGATGTTCTAGCAAAACAAGGGGTGGGAAGAAATCAACTGTTTTGGGATCAATTATAATTTTTAAGTTTTTCTTGAGGAGAGTTAGAAAGTTTACCTCTCCAGTCTCCTCTTTCTTGCATCTTTTGTCCCTTTTTAATCATTAATGAAATGTGCTGTTATTGATAAAAAAGCATCTCTAATGAGGACATCTTGTCCCGCAAGCAAGCTTTTCCATCCCCAAGATCCATGTCTAGGTAGAGAAAAAGAAAGAAAACTTTTATTTTTCACAGATTTTGTTTTAGTGAAGATATAGTTATCATCTACAAAAAAAAAATGTGAAATAGTGGGGCAATAGTTACTGAGCTTTTATTCTAGATATGCTTTTACTTGTAATCTGGTGGTTCAAAGCAGCTAAGACATCAGAGCAGAGAAGGATTAATCATGGTGATAGCAGGTCTCCCTGTTTGAGGCCCCTCTGGAGAGAGAGAACTTGCTAGGAGATACATTTATGAGAACTTGTTAACCAACAGTAGAGAGTCTAGGGACACACTCCACCTACCCTATCCACTTGGCTCCAAAACCCATCTTTTGCATTGTGTTTTTTTTTTTTTTTTTTCTTTTTTTTTTGAGGAAAGGTCATTCAACTCTATCATAAACTTTGTCTATTTCCAGCTTCATAGCGACATAAACCTTTTTTACCCCTACAATTCTTCAGGTAGTGCACCAATTTGTGGGCTATAAAGATATTATCATTTATCACTCTTCCAAGAACAAAGGTACCCTGCTTAATGTTAATGATTTTGTTGAGAATTAATTTAAGTCATTTAAGTCTGTCAACCAAAATGAATCTCCATAAAGGCCCCTTGAGGCAAGCCCAAACAAGTCCATAAAGGCTTTTGGGCCATTGGATTAGCACCCCTACCTAAATTTTTGGCCCGTATATATAAAAGGGGTTGGTTTTGTGATTTTAGTTGTGACTCATTTTATTTGTAAAAAGCAACCTTAGTTTTCATGGGATTTGATAGACTAGGGATCCGGTTCAGAAGTCATCATTAGGGCTGCAAGTCAGATCATCTGATATGAAAAATTTCAACTACATTGAGCTTGGATTAGGGTTTGGACCCTTCTGAAACTGAACAAATTTTCAACCCAACCTGACATAAGTTCACCCCTAATCATCATCATCATAATCTAAGCCTTGGCCCAACTATAAGGAGTACATGAATCCTGTTTCGCCATTCCATTTAGTTTCGTGCCTGTTTGGGAAGACTTCCATACAGTGGCTTTTGGCTTTGCAAGGTGGGCCTCACACAGAAGGCCTAGAAGCTATGTTTGGTGAAAAGACCTAGAAAGCCCCTATATGCTTTCATTTAGTCATGAAATCGACTTTCTGGTGAAGCTAGTTTTAGTAGCTTTTTCAAAGCGGCTTAGTGAGCAGCTTAATCAAAGCTGAAGCCCTTCCAATAGGGGTGCAACTTGGGTTGGTCCAAGTTAACATTTTACATTGATTCAGGCTCAGGCTTCAGGTCAAGCCCATTCAAAATTTGACAAAATCCCAACCCTATCCCGCCCAAGTTGCACTCCCATCTCCCAAACAGGTTCTTAGTGCCACATCCATTGTTAAATTTCAAGTTTAGAAATATGTGATTTATATATCACCGAAGGGGGCGTACTGGCCCCTGCTTTAGTTACATGTATTGCTGATGCGGATTTACTTGTTGTTTTGTCCTTTTTTTTAATATTTTTTCTGTTTCATAATCAGTGGTGTAGACAGAAATTTTTTCTAGTAGGGTCATACAACTTAAACCTTCGTAAATGTTATTCTTCTTGCATTTTTACATTTTCAACTGCCCAAGTTGTAGCTCATGGAGGCCTTTGTTTCCGTTTGAGAGGGCTTTCACACAGTGCCTTGTAGTGTTGTATGAGCCAAGAAACCCAGAAAGCCGTGAAGCCCTATTCGGTAAAATTCCGGAAAGCTGAATATAGGCTTACATGGGCCCAAAAATCAACTTTTCGATGAAGCTGGTGGGAGCTTCTTGGAAGCGGCTCTGTCAATGCAGATCAATCACCGCATAAACCACCCCAAACGGGCTTTTTACATACGTAGTATAAAAGTAAATTGGTCTAAAGTGCAAATAAAATGCCTAAATTGACCCCACACTTATTTTTTCATTTAACTTTACTGGGGTCAACATGGGAAAATGGGCTGAAAAGCCTGAAAATAATACATGAACTTCATTCTCTTTTTCCAACTTCAGTGGGGTCAATTGACCCCACTCAAATAAACATAGCTCCACCCCTGTTGATGATTGGCTACTTCTCTATGCTAATATTCTAATTTTGTCCTTGGGTATTAGGTTATGTTATGCTAGTTTGTTATGCACTTCTTTTATTTTGGCGGTTACATACTAGTGACCAGAAGAAATAGGTGGTTATACTTTTTTCGGATCCTTAAATATGGATTGTTGGTTCATTGACTCATTAGTTTCTCATCTACTTCTCTACTTCTCTCTCATACATCTTTAAGTAATTAATATATGCATGTAATTTCCTTGCCTAATAACTATACCTGTTATTGGCAAGACTTTCACCTCTTTGTGGGTTATTTGAAAGACGTGGCTCTTTTATTTTGAAAAAAAAATTTTGTGTTACCCTTTGATGGCCTTTCTTTGTAATGGGTTTGACTTAAACCCAGTTATGTTAATGGGATTATACCAACTATTTTTGCTAAACCCCATTTCTTCATTCTTACAGGTCTGCTGAAGTCACTATTGGTTACTGGAAATCTGCTTTGAATTGTAAGAACTACTTGATATCTATTTATCTTAATTATTTTTTTCTTTTTGTTTCAGTTATGAATTTTAATATGCTATGGAATGTGGAATTTGGAAAGATATTGAGCCAACAGACAAGATTTATCCTTGGGAACTAGTCCAGGGTTGGTGGGTTGAAAATCTTGGGAGGCTCTTATGTATGTTGGGGGAGGGTAACATGAGGGGTTGGCTCTCGGTTTAATACATAGGGAGGGTTTGATGTACTCTCATAGTTCTTTCCACTTTTTATTCTCATCAATTTCTATATGTTACTATCCGCCCTGCTCCACCACCCCCCAAAAAAATTAAATAAATAAATAAAAGAAGTTAGAATGTGGAGTTTGGGTACAGCATGATAGAGTAAACTTTGGTTTATGGTGTGAACTTGGAGATTTTGTGATATTTGACTTTGGGTTTCAACTGAAACCTTATGAATCCATCATTACTAAATGTCTCATTATATGCTTAGATGTCAACTAGCCGACTCCTGCTTCAACAATCCATAGATGATGCTCCGACTAGTACTGCAAATTGGACACTTGAGTTAGAAAACACATATATCGACATAATGGTGGATCATGTCAAAAAGGGAGACCGGAACACGACAACATTCTCGAAACCAGCATGGAGACAGATTCGTGAGGAGTTCTACATCCAGACAGGGAGGAAGTATGATCTAAAGCAGTTCAAGAACAAGTTCAACCTGTTGAGAGCACGTTATAGGGTTTTTAAGAAACTACTGACATTGCCCCCTGGCTTCAGTTGGGATCCAGTCCTGAAAACTGCCAGTGCCCCAGATGACGTATGGGATGATTATATAAAGGTGGTTTCCATTTTGTCAACTAGTTTCTTTTAGTTTTTTATTAAATATGCAATAGGTTTTGATGTAATATTGTATTTAACCTATAGGATAATCCAGATGCAAAGAGATTCCGTAGAGCTGGCTGTCCCGAGTATGATCAGTTGGAGATCATATTTGGAGATGCAACTACATCAGGGAACACTGCATCTGCAAGCACACAGGATTTGCCATCCACTGATGATGATGTAGAAAAACGTGAAGTTGACATTCCCTTTGCATTACCTTTTTATGCTCCATTTGAGGCATGTATTACTTCCAATATGTCAGAGGATGTCGAGGGTGATCTAGATGATAACACCTGCCACCGGTCACGTACACCCTCTAGCACTCATCGAGGGAAGAGGGAACGGACCTTTGAGATGTCTGATGCTATCAAATTCATGGCCCAAGCATCTAATAGAAGGACAAATGCACTCATTGAGCGTGCTGAGAAGTATTCAATTGCAAAGTGCATTGAAATACTTGAGGGTATGGAAGGCCTTCCTATGCGAACTTACTTGAAGGCAACAAAGATGTTCCAGGAGAAGGGATGGAGAGAAACATTTATTGAGATGTCTGAAGATCGTAGGAAGGGTTGGTTGGAGGGGGTAGCGTCTGGAGAGATTTAAATTTGCTTAGCTTATGATTCGGAACCATAATTTTTTTTTTTTTTTCTTTTATGTTTAGTAACTTGTAATGTGATAAATGTGTTTTTCCTTCTCCAGATTGGTCATATCCTAGTGGATACATCTTGTTAGTTATATCTGTTTTCAATGGTTAAATTCATTGGACCATCTCATTTTCTTGTTTTAAAGGTTGGTGCATGTATATTCCTTTTTGCATGCAGTGTTGTATGACACATTTTTCTGTGGAATATGGATTAATGTGTCATTAATTTGTTGTTATTATTTTGTATGGGGTATCAATTGTTGGATTTTAATCTCATAAGAGATTAAATCCAATGGGCTTGATTGATCAATTATATGAGAAATTGCACCTGCATACTTGATTGAAAAATTAGCTTTTTTCTTATAAAACCCAATTTTGAACTTGTTCTATATTGAAAAATTATAAGCTTTGTTTTTAATATTTCAATAGGAGTTGATTTACATTCCTTATAAATAGTAGAGTATGAGGGTTTGATACCGTGCAACGCATGTACACGCACGCGCGCGCGTGTGTGGGGGTTTGGTGCGTTGCTGACCGTTGATCATCGTTGATGAGATCAACGGTCACGATTCGATCGGGTGTGATCAAGAGGCACAATTCAAAGTTAACAGTCATTAACTGTTAACTACTTTTTAAACAGTCACAATGTTTGAAATTGTGATTGTTCAAGGTGCCTTCTCTAAACCAACACCTACCTTTTCTTCATACCTCTTCATAAACTATTTAAGGAGCATGAATCAGACTCCTAAAACACACATTTTCGAAATCCACTGTCTTTCTCTCTCTCATTCTGGTTTGCTACAGTCTCACAAAATGTTTCTCTGGAGATTCTTCAACTTTGCTAGTTGTAGATTCTCGCCCAAGGCTCTGTTGTATCCTGGAACGAATTTGCTTGTAACCTAACAATAAATTCAGTGAAATTGAGTGGGGGCAAATAACGTTTTAAAGACAGTGTCTTCAGACGCGCCTCAGAGCTTATCCTCCAAAGTTACAGCGATCCCATTTTCCAACAATTTTAGAACGTTATTCTGCAATGGAAGCAGAAACAAGCATGACTTTGATCAAGATGATGAATCAAGATCTTGTTCGACTAGACTAGTTCGATGGAGCAGACTTCAGCCGATGGCAAGACAAGATGATCTTTTTTCTGACCACACTAAAACTATACTATCTACTAGACCCGAATCTGCAATCACTTCCTGAACCCACTGACAAAGACTTAGAAAAACTAAAGAAGGAAAGAGCAAAACGAGAAGAGGACTCACTTCTGTGCCGAGGACACATACTGAATGCCTTATCAGACTGGCTCTACAACTTCTACAAGGAACTTACATCTCCAAAAGAAATCTGGAAGGTCCTGGAATTTAAATACAAGGTGCAAGAAGTAGGTACGAATAAGTATCTTATTGCAGAATACTTTGACTTCACCATGAACGACCATAAACCCACTAGAGCAAGTTCACGAACTACAGGTGATAGTCAACAAAATTCGATCCCTTGACATCATCTTTCCTGAATCTTTCAAAGTGGGAGCAATCATTGCCAAACTTCCACCCTCTTGGAAGGATTACAGGAACAAGCTTCTGCACAAGACTGAAGAACTTACCTTGGAGCAAATTCAGCAACACCTTTGTATTGAAGAAGAGTCTCGGATTAGAGACAGTAGGGATAAAACCCTGGCCGGTATGTTGAACTATAAGGTCAATTTTGTGGAAAACGAATTGAAGAAGACTAACCTTGCATTACAAGTAAAGAAGGATGGGAATTTCAAGAAAAACAACAATAAGAAAGGATCCTGCTATGTTTGTGAAAAGAAAGGGCATTATGCCCGAGTCTGCCGACATCGGAAAGGCGGAACCAAGTCTGCAAACATGATAGAAGACAATCTAGTGGCCATGATTACTGAAATCAACATGGCAGAATCGTCTTTTGGATGGTGGTTTGATTCAGGTGCCACAATCCATGTTTGCAAGGACAAGTCCTTGTTCAAGACATATGAAGAAGTGACTGATGGCCAGAAGGTACAGATGGGAAATCGAACATGTGCCAAAGTTGCTAGAAGAGGCAGCGTAGAGTTGAACTTCACCTTCGGAAAGACACTGACTCTCCTRAGTGTTCTCCATGTTCCTGACATTAGAAAGAATTTGGTCTCAATAAATCTTGTCTGTAAGAGGGGATTTAAAGTTGTCTTTGAATCTGACAAACTAATCCTATCCAAGAATGGGATGTTTGTTGGAAAGGGATATGGTTGTAATGGAATGTTCAAATTAAGTATTAATGAAGGAAAAATTTCTGCTTATATTGTTGATTATTTATCTTTATGGCATGATAGATTAGCATACTTGAATTTTAAATCCATAAAGAACATGAGCAAACTTGGTATAATTTCTTACAGTAATGAATCAATTGAAAAATGTGAGATATGTGTAAAATCTAAAATTGCTAAGAAACCTTTCCCTAGTATTGAGAGAAATTCTCAACTTCTAGAACTAATYCATTMTGACATCTGTRAACTYAATGGTGTATTAACTAGAGGAGGTAAGAGATACTTCATAACATTTATAGATGACTTTTCTAGGTACACTTATGTCTACCTTATGAAAACTAAGGATGAAGCCTTTGACA